AGGGAGAGAGAGAGAGAGAGAGAAAGATAAAGAGAGGAGAGAGAGAGAGAGAGAAGAGAGAGAGGGATGAGACGAGAGAGACAAGAGGAGAGAGGAGAGGAAGAGAGAGACAGGCAGAGGAGAAGAGAGGAGAGAGAGGAGAGAATGGGAAGAGGGAGAGAGAGAAAGCGAACCGAGAGAGAAGGAAAGAGGAGAGATGAGAGAGAGAAAGAGAGGAGGAGAGAGACGAGAGAAGGAGAGAGAGAGGAGAAAGAGAGAGAGAGAGAGAGAGAGAGAGAGAGAGAGGAAGAGGGAGAAGTGAGAGAGACAGAGGGAGAGGAGAGAGAGCAAGACGACGGGAACGACTGACGTCGGTCGGTCTCTATAGGGTCATTGGCGCAGCTACAGGCGTATGTCAGCAGGACTTCTTTCCATTTAACCTTAAACTTCGCCGCCGACATAGCAAAGGAGACGTTACCAATGTTATCACGTTATATCGCGAAGTAGTTACGGTCATGAGCACTGAAACGATTAGGTGGCGTAGGGGGGGGGGGGGCGAGCTTGACATAGAGCGCTAGGGAGACAGGTAGTACTCACATCGATGATTCGAAACTGAGGGGAACTCCAAGATAACTATTTGCGCGGGACATGGTAGCTTAGTCGTAGTCGACAACTAACTAGCTATCATTTTCTATTTGATGGAACGATCCGTTTGTCTAAATGTATTAACGTATGCAGAGCAGAGGAGGCTGGATGAGAATAAGTGTTCATGTAGAGTAATGGCACTCTTCGTATGGGTATTTTTATTGCGTTCTCTGTTTATATAATTACGGTCGGAACCTATAGGACGATCTTATCAGAGAACATCTAGTGAACTATCAGTTCATTATGACGGCAAATTACAAAAGCTTTACGTGACCAGTTGCCCACGCGTCATGATTTTACCGGGGCTGGCTTGTTCTCATGGAATTAACCATCTGGTGGCATGACCATTTGAGCCGAAGCGCATAAAACCACGAGATGGAGTAGTAGATATATGTTGGGAGAGGCATAGTTAAGCAAATACATATTCACTCACTACGACAATCAAATTGATCTGCAAGCAAAAACGCACACGACGCAGCGCTGTGACGTGTGACGCGAAACTGGCTATGTTGTGGGTCACAAATACGCCCACGCACGAAGGACGCACGCACACACGCACGCGCGCACGGCACGCACGCAGCACGCCCGCGCGCGCACACACCAATCACAATCATACGTAATTTTATGTGATAAAAATGTGCACCGCGCCCGCCATCTGCGGAGCGAAGAAGTTAGCTAGTTCTAATGTTAAAGAATTGAGAGTAAAATAATTTGGCATGGATATATTGGCTATAGCAAAGCATGACGCGGTCATTATTGGCTGTAATACCTCTAATAATTATATTCACATCATACACTCTAATGTTAATGTAATTACTAAGTTTTCTAACTAAACTGTAAAGATCGTTCCTGGACTAAGCCGGTGAGTTAAATTTTACGTTAAGATACGTTGCTGCACAACACGCACCTATAAAATGAACGCAGCATATATACACGTAAGTTTTTGTTCTAAAAATGTTTTTTATAGGTGCTATGTTCTAGAATCGTACTTAAAAGCTGAGAGCTGACCAGTTTTGTGTTTTAAGCTGTAGGATATGTTTACCAGTTCTTTCTTTAAGTAAGAAGCGAAGTTTTGTTCTGCAGAGATATCCGTTTTAATGCGGGGTTGCTGTCTCCTTCCTTATCCGGGGAGTAAAATAAAATTTACAAAGGATTATTCAAATATATCTGTCGCCAATTGCATGCTCGAGCCCACAGGACAACACACACACACGCGAGCGCCGGCGCGGGACGCACGCCAGCACGGCACGCACGTGACGGCACGCACGCAGGCACACGCAGCGCAGGCACGACGCACGCACGCGACGCTCCGCACACACACAACACACACCACAACACACACACCACACCACACACACACACACACAGCACTCACACACAATCACCCACACCAGTCACACACTACAGCACACACCACACACACACACAATACACACTCACACAGCACACACAACACACACACACACACAACACACCGTATTACTATATAATATAGTATATATTAATATATATCATGTATAATTATATCGGTGCCGTCCAATTAGAACGGCAATATTCAGCTGGTATGTCAGCGTGCACTAGCGAAATGTACAGATACGCCTAACCCGAAATGTGGACTTCCTGTAGGATTTTAAGATACTGCTGAAATATTTCCACAACCATTTTTTGTCTATGGGACTTTGGCGACACCACACGTACGATTCTCTACAAGTCTTGTGCCACACGGAATCTACGTCATGTATTTTCATCAGCTACGCCATTCTTATCGTAGCATTCAGGTTCGGTACTGTATGGAATAGAGAAGTGTTGCGAACAGGCATGGACGTCTATTTATTTTAGTCTTTGCTCTGAATCCTACGTCCTAGCGGTGAGTGAGTGTGCAGTGTGCTTCTAAAAGCATCTAGGACATTTGTTTGCTAGTAAAGGAGAATAAATCAATAGGTGACCTCGACCAAATACTTCGCCGTGTGTTAATTTTCTCCATTGAGATCGCAGCCGTCAAAATTTGTCGGTTGTTCGTGCTTGTGTTCCATCCACTCTTTCCAAAGCGCGTCTGTCTACGACTACCCATGATCTAATTTTAGCGGGCTTATTCACACACTCTTACATGAAATGTTTTCGTTTACTTACAGTTGCAATGTGCCGAACTGTCGACAGACTGTGTTCATTGGAAAATGTCCCACTTTTTACAAAATACATACGCAACGGTTGAGAAAGGCCGATAAAGCTGGATATTTGAAATATACCGGCAGGACTGCGGAAAAAACATATAATTTAACAGTTATCATTCCGATGCGCAATGTTGTCTAGGATGAATATCTACTCGGCGATTTTTCACCATTCGACACGGCAATTTGCAAGTAAGTGCACACGCTAATTTTATAAAACACTAAAGCAACCAATTTCTTATTGAAAAGCAGTTCGCCGTACAAAATACACGCAATACTAAATTAATTCAATCATTAAGTACCGCGATTTACCAGCTGTAATGTATGTCTTGTAATGCAGGTTCTAGCGATAAATACACCTAAATCAGCGCGGACAATCACCCCAGCATACAAATAACAACGGACAACCCCCCTTGTACAATTACTCCATGCATAACACTCGAAAGTTATCCCCTCTTGGGCCAATCTTTCCCGGGCACGGTTACCACCGACTATCATCCCGGGACATTAGCCCGCGTTCACACGTAGCTCAGGAATCCGCGTATTTTAGCGTTCACACGAGCAAATACGCCCGGTCCAAGATAATTACGCGCGTATCTAAACAGATCATTATTTTATTGTTAAATATCGTGGCTTCCAGACCCCGAATAATTTGCCGTGCGTTGGAGAAATACCGGATCTCTGGACCGCGCATTTCCGACGTGTTGACGACTAAAAACCGGAATTTCTGAAGCGACGTATTTTATAGGACTTGGTCGCCACTCGACCAGTTCCAGTGTCAAACGCGGTGGGAAGCTGTCGAGCGCGGACGCGTCTATTTTTATTCGGCAGTTGTGTGCGAATTGCACTTGTTATCTCGATGTTCGCTTCGATTGTTTAAAAGGCTTGCTACCGCATTGCTCGCAATAACCGTATTTCTGTAGCGCGAATCAGGCGTGTGACACCGGGGCTCGGCTGCGTATTTGTCTCAGATTCGGTATTCGGCAATACCGTATTTCATAAATACGAGGTCTCGTGTGAACGAGGCTAATTACCCCTTGGAGAATCACCCCGGGACAATTACCATATGGACAATCACATCCGGACAATCGCCCCTCCCCCACTCTATTACGACCTGGGCAATTACACCCCCAGACAATCATCCCCCGGACAACCACCCACTACACACACCTCCATCCTAATCGCCCCTGGATAATTACCTCCAAGGGGTTTAGTTTTATTTATTTTACGATCATTGTGTGGAATTTAATTTCTCGCAAAAACACATTTTAGAATGAAAAATATTATTTCGATTTTTTTTTATATATAATATTTATCTTTAATTTAATGTAAAATAGCTAAAATAATATTATATTCGATATATTCCTTGGAAATGATCATTTGTAAGACGATTGTAAAATATAATAATTTTTTCACTTATTTATTCATCATCATCTTTGAGCGAAAATGTGAGGTTAGGTGGCGCGGAAGGTGCGCTCACATACAGGGGTTCACTTCAACTATCAAACGATAATAAATCAATAATGTCACATAATTAACAATAAATAGCTACACCTAAGCAATCGCCCATAGGGTGAACGACATGGGCGTATTGTTGCCCAGTGGTTTGTCGTGGGGGTATTGTCTGACAGGAGTATGTTCGCTGTGGGATATTATCTGACAGGAGTTTGTTCCGTGGCGTAATTGTCTGACGAAGTAGTTGTTTGTGGGGGTAATTTCTCTGACAGGGAGTTGTTCGTGGGGGGGGTAATTGTTTGACAGGGAGTTTGTTATCTTCAGTGGGTAATTGTCTGGACAGTAGTTGTGTAGGGGGTATTCTCTGACAGGGAGTTGTTCCGTGGGGGGTACGGTAATTGTGTGCAAGTAGTTGGTCCGTTGGGATCTTCTCTCGTTCGGGGGTAATTGTCTGACATGTAGTTGTTTCGTTGGGGGTATTCTTTCTAAGGAGTTGATTCGTGGGGTAATGTTTTGACAGGAGCTGTTCCGCGGGGGTAATTTGTTCCGGCAGTAGTTGTCCGTGGGGAAGATTGTCCGGCAATGTAGTTGGTCCGTGGGAAGATGGTCTGGCAGTAGTTGTCCGTGGACGATTGTCCGGCAGTAGTTGTCCGTGCTAATTGGCGGACGGTAATTTTCCGGCCAGTAGTTGTCCGTGAGGTGATTGGTCCGGCCAGTAGTTGTCGTGGGGGGTGATTGTCTTGACAGTAGGTCTGTCGCGGGTGGCCCGAGAATTTGTCCGGCAGTAGTTGTCGTGGGTGGTAATTTTCTGACCGTAGTTGTTTGTGGCCGGTAATTGTTGACAGTAGTTGTCCGTGGACGGTAATTTGTTCCGGCCGTATGTTTGTTTCGCGGGCGACCGGTAATTGTCTGCAGTAGTTGTCCGTGGGGGTATTATTGTCTGGACCAGTAGTTGTCCGTGGGAGGTAATGTCCGACACGTAGTTGTCCGTGGCTGTAATTTTCTCGACATGTAGTTGTTCGTGGGGGGTTACATTGTCTGACAGCTAGATGTCCGTAGGGGTATTTTTTCTGACAGTAAGTTTTCGTGCGGGTAATTTGTTGACAGTTAGTTGGCCGTTTGGCGGTAATTTTCTGACAGTAGTTGTTCGTGGGGTAATTGTCTGACAGTAGATTGCCGTGGGGGTATATTGTATTGATAGTTAGTTTGTTCGAGGGGGTAATTGCCTGGACAGTTTCATAGTTGTCCGTGGAGAGTGATTTCCTTTCATACACATATTTTTGAACAGTGTCCAAACTGTTTAATGCAATTTTTGCTACTTAATTAAACGGGACATGTATTTGCATCGCCACCGCCGCCACCGCCACCGCCACCGCTACCCCCGCAAAAGGGAGAGCGAGCAAGAGAAATAAGGAGTGTGTTGTGTGTGTGTAGTGCGTGTGTGTAAATCGCCGTGTGTGTGTGTGTGTGTGTGTGTGTTGGTGTGGGTGTGTGGCTTGTGTGTGTTGTGGTGTGTGCGGGCGTGTGCTGTGTGCGAGAGAGAAAGAGAGATGTAAACATTTCCTTCATAGTTCCGGAAAGTGCCATTCTTGTTAAACATGCATTTGTTGTATGAGCATAGCTGTAACAGTTGAATATATTCTGGAATGTTTCAATAAAACCTAAGAAATATTCTGGAACAATTGGCTATAATCGTTGCCATCATAGACTTGTGAGTCATCTAAATAGATATTAATCCTGTACTTAGAATAGTTGGGTCAATCATATCATCGCCCATTAAGACAACCCAGACATTGCGATGCATACGCTCCACATTGGTACAAACGCCCGCCTCGCACTCACCCCACACACTGATCTGCACTAGGTGCGAATGAATGCATAGCCCATAGCGATTGCCTCGCCCCATCCGGCACCCTGCTATCGTGAAAGCTGCCGGCATGATCCGGTTCTGGGTCGCTACCTAACTCTTCTGCAAAGCATGATAGAAATCGCTAGCCGATAAATTGCGGATATTATTCTATATGATGTGCGTGTAACTATAGTGTGTTGTTTTTTTGCAGTAACTTTGAGAAGGCCAACAAGTGCATACGCATCATCATCAAAGATGTTGTCGGCTGCAAGGATACCGATTTGATATATCCACCTCATGAAAGATTATTTTACTACATGATGTCGGGTTACCCGACAATTATCCACAAAATTAACTTCCGTGAACTGTACTTCCTTGCGGATGCCGTGCTTGCTGTCGCACGAGAGGCATGTGGAACTAAACCGTTTTCTCTACTAACAACTCCAGGGGGTAAGTAAAGAGAGTAGGTGAATGTAACAGCGCTAAACAAGCTCTTAGCAATGGACCGATGTTTATTTTGTTGTGGTAATTGGTGTTAATTTTTGATGACAAGGTTCAGCTTATTATATACCAACCTTAAGGCGAGAAATTTTTATTTTGTTGGTTTACAGATCCGCCGACCCGAATTTTCAAGAAAAACGAAAAAAAATAAAAATTGAAAATTTGTATTTTTTTATTCCCGCCGACCTTGTCTCTAAGAAATATGAATAAACATTTCATAAACAAATAGTTTATAATAAAAGTAAAAATAATTATAAGTTGAGTTTTGTTTTCATTTAGTTTTTTTTTTTTTTACCCTACCGACTCAACAACAACAACAAAAATTCTGTAAACCAACAAAATAAAAAATGGTGGCCTAAAAATTCAAGGCAGTGATATATATGAAGGCAATCAAAGAGTGATGTATGGATGATAATTCTTCCTCACTTTACTTGGAAATTCTTGCAGTTACATAATTTTCAGCAACACCTCCTCATAAAATAACGCGACTTGGAAAATGCACAAAAACTCCCTCTATGTGCATACACGTATATGTTTCACTCTCTGCATGTTTAAGCACTTTTGCTGGTCGCAATAGATCAACAAAGTAGCCGTATATCGCTGTGGCTCATCGTTGCATTTCATATATATTCAACATCACGAAGTGCTTTACTGATTGTCTCGTAGGCTTCGTCGGTTGAATAGATTCTGTTAGCGATAGAACCCATGTTATTGTTTATAATTATACAGGTTATAGTTTTGACACTTTTGTTTTATTTTGATGAAGCGTTGGAAGCCGCTCAGTGCGTTTCAAATTCGTTCGACGCCATATTCGGACGACGGTACTATCAAGGTTCTCCTGACACTGACCTACGACGACTAAACAGCTTGGTCGATCTTCAAATTATGGCAACCAAGCTAATGGCCATCGATCTTAACATGGATGGTAAACCGTTAAAAGAGCACCAGTGCCAGTAAGTATCATCTTTCGTCTAGACTCGTTGGGCCTTCATTGTTTCGTAGTTGCTAGCTGCTAATTTAGCCTATTTTGCATTAGGCGATTTTCACCGGCGATTGAGTCGCCCGACTGAGTCGCCCGATAAAATCGCCTAGTGTGTACGGCCCTTAAGTCCGGCCCTTAAGTAAGTCCGGCCCTTAGTCCGGCCCTTAAATCCGGCCCGTAAGCCATGCGAAACTGAATGGGATCCTCGCCGAGGTAATCAATAATACTAACGGCAGTACATTTCTTTCTTGCAGATCACTCGCAGAGGTTTTGGGCGGTTTAAACAAGATGTTCACCCACTCCAGCTGCGAGCAATTAAAAACCCAAATCGCCAAAGCCGGCTCTACATTAGTTAAAAATTTGTGTGCGACTGTGCCAGTATCACTAAGTTCCGCAGCAGACGATAACAGCGTCATTAGCATTTGGTTGATGCTAACCGGTGCTATCGCTTCTCATTTGTGGTAAAATGGTGAGCACCCGCGTTCGCGAAAAGAGTTTTGTTCAGTATCATCATAAAAAAACTAGCTATAAAAATAAATCACTGTACCTTGTGAACTCAACTATTGAAGTCGGGCAGAAGGCTGCTTCGCGAATCAATCACTGGCACGTTGCAGCGCACACCGAAAGGTCAGTCACCAACTAAGTTGCATTAGCTTCTGATGAGCGAATTCATATTTTTTCCTCTTTGATGCCGGTAAATATTAATCACGCATGATCGTGTATTTTTCATCAATAGAAAATCGTTTCGATTCTCGCATATGAAGGATTTTTCACTCAAAAGGGCCGGAAACACTAGGCGATTAAATCGGGCGACTAAATCGGGCGAATCAATCGCCGGTGAAATCGCCTAGTGTGTCTACTCAATCGCCGCCGATTTAGTCGCCCGATTTCGTCGCCCGATTTAATCGCTTAATCATAATAAATGATCATATATAAATATCATGTTTAGATAAGTCATTTCAATTCGATGACTATTCCTTTTTAAAAGTACTGTTATTACTTCCTTATACTGTGCAACAGCCCATTTTTAGGTTGATTAGGTTATTTGGGTTGTTTTAGTTTGTTTAGGTTAGATAACCAGGTTATTTTTGAACAGGACTCATCATATGATAAGATATGACTCTGGTAGATTATGGGAGAAACAATGGTGCGATGATAGTAGCGCATCTACCCATAGCTTGTATAATATACAGTTATATAAATAACATCCAAAAACGGAGATTTCATCATTTATATTGTGAAAAGGCGAATGAAACAGATCGACGAATGAACCACGAATTGATCTGGAAATTGTATGTGATGATATATCTGCCAATTTAGATAATTCTCGTAAACGTGATCGACGCTGGCATTAGTTTAGCTTATTGATGGTGTCAGATAGGATGTACTAGCCTCTCAAGAGATCAGTCTAATCATTGTGTTGCCTGCAAACAATGTAGATAGCCTGGACGATAAATAAACTATAGTAAATATTTTCTCGTATGCTATTAGATTTAAAGGTGACCAGTCTTTTGACGTCTTTCACGCACCGCGCATTAAACAGCTGGGTATATTAACCCTTTACCTAATATTAACCCTAGTAAAGCATGTAATTATATTAGCGTTGTTCCTTGCAATTTCTTACGTAGACTGTAATCTAGTTTTGCTAACAAAGTAGCTTACACGTCACGTGATATATATGTATGCGCTGTGGAAAAATATGGCCGCTCCGACGAACTATCGAGACACCTAGATTATTGAAACATTTCTTTAAAACAATATGGACGAGTTACATTTCTTGCATTCGCGTTTGTCTTATTTTCTGTACCTGGTTATAGGTAGTTGAACAGAACAAAAAATACATCACAAACGGATTGTGAAGATAGGTTATCATAGACATTAACCTGCCGTCAATGAATTACCGACAGATTATCCACACCGCCGATTTCGTTCGGAAGGATAAAAACGAACATTTTTTCCCAGGCTGCATTAGCCACACCAACAGTCGTACTTCTCCGGCTGTCCGAGCTGTGAAGTCTGTCAGAGGTCGATCTCGGCCTTGTGCCGAACATCGCAAGTTGGATCGTGTCATTATCATTGATTATGCCATGTTCTGTAATGTCTACCCCCGTCTGCTCGTCTTCCTCGCTCATGCGAAGCCCCATCGTCTTATCGATGAGCTGATGCGATACAAAAAAAAACATACTGTTTAAAAACAACGATAAAAGTGGGTGTCGAAATACATGATTTGATGGTAGAATTACTAAAACATGAAAGAAGTACCCAACTGGCTTACTGAAATTTGGTCGCGATCCCATGACGGTTAAGGGAAATTGGGTATTCATGGCATCATTTTTTAGATAACGTGTTGTTTTATTAGAAAAAAAACTAATAACAATTGGTGTAAATTAGATACAACGCCCCCTTTCATTTCTTTCCGACAACAATTTGTATACCGTAGTTCATATCTACGCCTAATAAACTATAATTGGTTTTCGAATATAGAAATTTTTTTCTGAAATTTAGAACGTTTTAGGAAATGACCGATGGCAATGTATATGGCGCATTTATAAAACACAATAGTTTAGAAAATAAAAAAACATTGTTGGGCAATTGAAAGTAAAAGAAGTTTCAGTTTGCGCTATCCACATCAATCTGATTTATATCGACCTAAACGGAATTGATATAAATTTACATAATGCGAACGCGTAAGTACCGAAGTGCGTTTTCTTACAAGCAAAAATATTTTGAAATCTGTAACATTGTTAATAGACTTACATTCTATTTAAATATGCAATTGTTCTTTATAATTGGACCCAGAATATTACTCACAAAGAGAAGAATGAGCGTCAGCAGAGCGCTGTACGTACAAATGCAGACGCACGCAAAAAACTTGGACTCCGAGTAGGTAGAATCCTCCGCCGTGAAATAGTCCCGCTCGGCCGTGTGTTAGTCTGCGCAGTGTCTCATTGCTGGCGAACAAGCCGACAGCGACCATGCTCCACACGCCAGCAACACCATGCACGGAGACAACATTCACCGGATCGTCTGACAAAGCAACAACGAACGCGCATATTTTAGTCATTACATGTTTTGCAAGCGAAGTCTCTTGTTGTATGATGCAACAACGCAACGACGACATGGTGACGGCAAAACGAAAAGAACGACGACAAAACAGAAGGACGGACAGAATACACGGAAAAGGTCAAACGAACGACAACATTTCTAAAGCATGCCACAGCGTTTTGACTAGAATTGACTGGATGAATGCAACACTTGCCTATGTGTATGGCATCCAATAACGGTATTGCCAAAAGAGCAAACAGACTTCCCAATGCGCCAATGATAATCGCCTCCCATGGTCTGCATACGGCGCAGCATGCTATATAAAAAACGTTGAATTAATAATGTTTTTTTATGAAACCATATTTCCCATGTTGGTATATGGTTAGCTGCAAAGACAAAGAGGTAAATTCTGGTTGTGACGACGGCAAAAGTTGGGCCGCCGCGGTCAACAGAAGGCGTTTTTTTGATGCTCCTCTGTGATAACATTTAGAATGGCTTAGCCTAAGTCTATGCCAATGACTGGTGGATTTACATTAAAAATGTTGACACACATCGGCTGTTCTACTAATATAAAAAACGAGCAGGGCCGTAGGCTGAGCAAATTCCTGGGGGGGGGGAGCAAATTTCATGACTGAACTGTGTAATGATGAGGGACGGGCGCAGCTCTTGACCGACGTCCATAGTGTGGTGGGGTGGGTCTGACACAAGGCTTTCACGGATAAGTGACCAAAAAAATCTTTACAAAATAAAGCCTTTTTAGGTGTATTTTAATTTTGCTCCAAAATCGAGGGGGCAGTTGCCCCCCTTGCCCCCACAAGCTACGGCCCTGAGAGAATGAGAGAAATAATACAGAAGGGAACATTGCGCGTCCACGCGGAAAATAATATCCCGCGAATTAAGAGTTTGCGCAGGGCATAAATAATAACATTATTATTATATACAGCTCAGTAGCTGACTCCATAGGTGTCATATATTCTTGCTAGAATTAACTCGTGACAACCATGTTTTGGAAGTTTCGCCAGTCTACAGATAAACAAAAAGGTGCGTTTCTTGATACTACTCGGGTCCGTGTGTGCATGTGTGATGGACATTTGCACAGACGCTTAGATGCGACAATAAATCTATTAGTAGGTTGTACTATGTGTTATCTGATTCATTATTTAGTTAATAACGCAATGTGATTTATTTATATTAATTAATTAATTTTACTAGTTTTATTAGATTATTACCCGTTGTTCCTACGAGTGAGCCAAGAATTCCGTTGATTAGTTGAGAAATATCGTACAGTCCTCTGTTAGTTACGACACTATGGAAGGCAAATGCAGTGGGCAATTAAAACAGGTTACGAACTGCAGCGGAAGTTTTAATCAGGAAGATAATCTGTGTAATCATATCACATTTTGAATTTTACAATGTCGAAAAAGAATCTTTGTTGTAAATGGCACATTTTACATTAACCAACAAATCTATGCCAACAATTGTTTCGGGCTGCCGTTTCAATAACATTTTGTACCGCCCTTTTTGCGAGTTTATTAAAAAGAGACGCACCACCACACGCACACGAGCACGCGTACGCACGCGCTTACGCTTACGTACACGCGCGCGCGGACACACGAACACGCAAACGCACAAGCTCATGTACACGTACATGCGCGTACGCACGCAAGATAATATAATTGTTAATCGAACTGCTTCATCTTTAGCAGCTGACTACCAGATCTGTAATTATGTAAATAATGAATCATCACCTGTACAATATTGCGACAATGCCTCAACCCACGGACGCATTAATTGTAGTAACGGCAGACCTGGATGAAATGAATAGAGATGAGTAAAAAGAGCTGAAGTTTCTGTAATTGATATACGTATGTTGATATAATAATTGATAATGCACATATACAATATAGTATAAATTGATGCAAGGGTCGGCAACCTATTTTGGACAGGGGCCAGAGACAGATGTGTCCCTCGAATAGCAGGTCATGATTTAAAAACTAATAAGCAAACAATTATAAAAAAGCATTTAATTAATAGTAAATAATAGTTTTAATAAACCCCATCAGCAATGATATTTCAATAAATAAGTACTCCATTGAATGATATGAGCAATCAGTTAGATAAGGTAGAATTTGAAGTTAAGAAGAATTAAGTTAGAAAATTAGAGAAAATAATAATTTTCAAATTTATATTTTGTTTAATTGTTCAATTATTTGTTAAAGGCTATTACGGAGTTGACAGATTACACTGGCGGGCCGTGTGTTGCCGACCACTGACATGTACCACTATTTTATAACATATTCCATTATTTTATAACATATTCCACTATTTTATAACATATTCCACTATAATTTTATAACATATTCCACTATTTTATAACATATACCATTGTTTTGTAACATATTCTACTGTTTTATAACATATAACGCTGTTTTGTAACATATACCACTGTTTTATAGCATATTCCACTGTTTTATAACATATTCCACTGTTTTATAACAAATACCACTGTTTTATAAAATATGCCACTGTTTTATAACATATGCCACTACTTTATAACACATGTCACTGCTTTATAACATATGTCACTGCTTTATTAGCAACATATTGTACCTGGTGGTTAGTTTCCATTTTTGTCCCGAAATTCCAAAGGTACTACCGCAGTTGAAGCCCAGCCACCCCCACCTATAATAAAAAAAAGCAAAGATCGAAACTTGACCCGCGCTATCGCTTGTCTATACCTAATCGCATTTCGATAGCTAACTTAGCCGTATTATTATTTTTAGAAACGATCATTCTCTTCGTGGTAGTAATATCACAAACTCACGACTTAACATTAAGTGTTGAGTGCGCACATTCACGTTTTTTATAGAGTAAATAGCGTCCAAAGCATACCGCATGGCGGCGCTGCATCGCTGTTACACCTAGAGTCTCTGTATATAGGGACTCTAGTTACACCACAACACCAGCCAGCACGGGCTCCCGACATTATTCTCAACTTTGTATACTACAAACCTCCCATTAAAACAGAGAATGAGCATCCAAACGAACACTGTCACATCGTTAGTAGCCTCAGACCTTGCTTTCAAATGCATATATAATCAGGGGTTAATAATGACAAATTATTGGTTAATTTAATGGTTAATTATTGGTTAATAATTAACCAAAAATGGTCAATTTAATAATTTGTTATTATTAACCCCTGATATAATGCATATAAACGTCCGTGGCATTTATAACGGTGTTCAACGACAATATACGACCTCAACACGATCTATGGTGGACTACCTGCACATACTTTTTTTTAATAAAAAAGTTTTTAATAAAAAGTTTTTGCGATGTGACCAATAAATTGTGTGCTATTCTCAAATTCACCGTTGAAACTTTAGATTGCATATATTGTTAAATACCCAGCCGCGGTCAGGGACTAATCACGAGCGAGACAACTAGCAGAACGTAAATTATTGTTGCGCTTGTAAAGCCAAAGCTGATAAAATTAACGACTGCAGTGTTGCGATTGCAGCGCATCTGTATATGAAGTCACATAATATGCAGGTAAGCTATTCACTGTCATTGAGTAAACAGCACGAGCGAGATACGTACTGTAGCAGCTCATTGCTGCAGGACGCATGTCGAGCCATCAATAAGATATCTTACAAGCATCGCGCCTGCAATGTCGGAGTGTTGTGACAGTGTGGCGCGATGATGAGATAATACGACAGCGAATAACACCGCGATGCCGATGGCTTGATATGTCAGGCCCACACTGAGCTACACACACAGCGCGCACACACGCACGTACGCACGCACACACACACACACACACACAACACACACACACAACGCGCGCGCGCACACACACACACACACACCACGTACGCACGTACGAACGCACACACACACACACGTACGCACGTACGGACGCACACACACACGCACGCTACGAGCGGCGCGCGCGCGCACACACACACACACACACACCCACATCACACACACAAACACCACACATACACACACACACACACACACAACACACACACACACACACACACACACACACAACATACACATCAATTATATATATATATATATATTATATACATATATAATGATATATAGTGGAATAGTTGATAGATGCAGAGACGGATGTGGGACATGCATAAATATTACGATCGCAACATCGCGTTCCCATGCACGCTACGTATCGAACATCGTAATATGCGCGCATACCTGAAAACGTTTAGTTATATAAAGGCCGAACGGAAGGTAACTGCTTAGAAGCCTACTTTACATACCCGGCTACTTTTAACACTTTTTCTAGATTACTTCGCCAAGAGAGAAGATCAAGATTATACTTTCTAGATTACCAGAGCATGTATAATTAAAATGAGCGCGTTCGTCGGCAAGCACATCTCCGGTCGGCTCCTGCCGCGATCGTAGCGCCCCATGCGGGGCCTCAGCACGCACGTTGCCACCAGCCCCGCCGTAGCGCCAACCAGGTGCACCGCCCCGGCGCCGGCGATGTCGACGACGCCCATCCGGTAGAGGAAGCCGGCCTCACGCCAGATCCACGACGTCGGCATGCAGTAGACGACCGTGTTGACGAACGAGAAGACGCTGTAGGCAGAGAGCCGCGTGCGCTCGGCCATCGCCCCGGAGACAATCGTCGTCGCCGTCGTCGAGAACGACAGCTGGAAGACAAACTTGGAGAAGGTGATGCCCATCGCGTCCGGCTCGGCGTTAACGAAGAACTCGCCGGATCCGCAGAACGGGTTGCTGCCGGGTCCATCGCCGAACGCCAGAGCGTAGCCGAAGATCCAGAACGCCATTCCGCCGAAGACGACATCGACGACGTTCTTCACCATGCTGTTCACTTCGTTTTTTTTTGCGCGTGACGGCCCCGGACTCTAGTCGGGGCGGAAGCCAAAACCTGCTCAAAGAAAAAAAAATGGCGTCGGGGAAGAACGTAGTATATGCCTATAATCGTGTGCGGGTCGAATATGGCGAGCCATGGTTCAATTTTGCCTATAATACTCGGAGGAAGTTTTACATGTTCTGTGAATCAGTTGGAACGTTAACCACATGAATTTCACCCGACATAAGAAATATATATCACCAGTAGCAATATATTCGTTGCAAAACCTCACTTATTTGACTTCAAAATCGCTCGATTTTAGATACCACCCTATGTGGTAATGTGATGTGCCTAAAAGTGATGTGCTATTGTCCTATGGCAGATGTGCATAATGCAAACGTTTAACATATATTACACTAATGACTATCACGATGAACCGCTCCCCATCGTCTCCGATAACAAGCTCTTACTTCTATATTCGAAACAGGCGCATCTTACTAACAGACCGCCAGTAGAATATGAAAGCAGGTTGAGAATATGATAGTCGTAATGTATTGCGTGAATCTTTCGTGTGAAGGGCGACGAAATATGTTTTGCAGTAATTGCGGAGCAGTTTATACGGTTTCTCAATTGCGTACACCGTGATGCAGAGCCACAATATAATGTGACGCACTTGCTTCTGTCCTCCACGAATTGTATTTCTTGAGAGTTTGCACGCCTCCGGTGTGCAAGCTGCCAGAGCAATTACCGATAAGCCTTATGCCCCTATAACCCCGATACCTTTATAATACCGTCGTCGCCTTCGTCGTCATGTATACACGCACTGTTACGTGTTGTTCGTCTAACTACGTACTGACGGTTGTGCTACGTAATCTAAATAAGTTTCTTTCAAATAATTAAAATGTAAGAAAAGTAAAACATCGGACGGTTACTTCGTCGTGGTATGAGAGGCTCTACGCACTCGCCATAGCATCACTTGTCAATTCATATATAGCATATACACGAAGCATTACTTACAACTATATGAAATTTGTTCAGTGTAATAGCAGCCGTGAATTATAGCTCGATTGCTCACCTGACTGCATGGTGAATATGATGAAGGAGCTAGTGAGAATCCAGGTAATGTCATCCCAGCTTAAGTCGTGCACACTCCGTAGACTGTTGTCTGGGTGTGTTGTACCTTCATCATCTGGTCTCTCCGTGAATAGACTTTCCGAGATGTTACACCAGATGACATATCGACCCTCTGTCAGGTTGTCGCACATCTTTTCATACATCGACTATAACAGGTAAAAGTCCGAGTATTTGCAACTCATCGGTGACACCTGTCAGTATATTGCATACGGTGCTATCACTGCAAAGATGTCACGGCAAGCATACATGGCGCGTATACCAGCGCCGCTGTTCAAGCAATATCATTGGTAAACAATTGTGTAAGCATTACAGCCATAATGGGATACTGCATATCCTGCATAGGATGACTGCATATCTGAATCACGATTTCGTAAGTGTAGTTATCACACTAATCAAGCTATAAGAACCTAACACATAAAAACATAAAAAGCTACTTGAAAAAAAAACACAGCTGTAACTTTCTTCATGTGAAGAAATGATGGCAACTATGCAAATTCAATAAAAAAAAAACTCGTTATTTAAAGTTATATAGGTAGGTACTTGCTATATTGTTATTTAATATATACATTTTAATGAGCAAATATACTGAAGGTAATAGCAGATTAAATAGAGCATTCGTATTCATCCGACAAAACACAATCATGCTGCAACCGTACGTTCGGAGTGAGAAGTAGTCATAATTGATGCAATACCAGTTATGTATCCAGATAATAGTACTCACGATTGTCACCACTCGAAAAAGAGACTGGCATCCCAGCCATTAAAATATTGACGTAAAACGTAGAGAATATTAAACGCACTCGTTACATCCTGAGTGATACTTGTCCAGAATCGAACGCAAATCGTGGCCGGACGGTCGCTGTAGAGGCGGGCACCACGTGATCACTCATGTGTAGTCTCTGTTCACTTATAGTTCTTACTGACTATGGGTTGACCACAGTGAGTGCAGTGAATTATCACACGAAAGTTGAGCTGTTACACATATTGTCACACTCGTGACACACGAGCATTTATACACTTCATTGCGCAAATCCCTTCCCTAGCCGATTTTACTAGATGCGTATGCAATAAATCGTGCACTAAAATTGCGAAAAAAAGTTTCCCGTTCTATAATAGCAGGCGCATGCAGTTCTCGATCCGGAAACGTATCCCGTTTAATGTGTACTGAGAACAAGATGCAGTGAGGGCCGACTGTGACAAATCTCGCGAAAGCTGATCCGACGATGAATCGATCGATATACGCGGCCGCATGCAGGCGACCCTCGCACGGGCGTCCTGCAGTCGACACGAGCACCGTAGCTCTGTAGCCAGGTCGCGTCCCCAGACTCACGCTCCCACCAAAGGAAGTTATATATAACAACACTGACATATGCAGCTCCTTGCTCCCACCGAGCCCGCCCCCCCCCCACGAGACGTAAAGAGACATGGGACCAACCTATCCTAGCCAGCGTCTCCTGCGCCACCGTTAGATCGCACGCCGGTACGACAAAGTTCCACTAATATATATATATATATATATATATATATATATATATATATATATTATATATATTGATCAGTAAAAAGTTCTCTGGCACTACGCATTTTCGTTGTTTTGCAGTTTGAATTTAACGTTTCTGAGGCGTTAACGTATCAGAGCACGTTGCGCTCGTGTCTTCACGCTCGCAATAAATACTAGACGATACAGCTTTAAATAAAAGGAATTGAACATATTTTTAAAATATATACTGCTTTATTATTACTATTCATTATTATCCGTTTTAATTCACGTGTTTTGCATGTTTATTTCAATATAATTTAAATACGACAGTCGTTAAACTGTAATATCACTATAAATTTTCTTCAAATTTTGTTTGTAGAAAGAAATGTTTTCTCATTGAAATTCATGCATTGAAATTCGGCGTTTTACAATTCCTCGTGATTTCATGGAACCAATAAACAATGAATTCCAATGTACACTTATATACGTTGAGTAATGTCTAGGGCAGACCGACACCACATGAATGACAGACACCTCACATTTACAAGCAGCAGTGTATCAGGGCCGTATAGCCCTGGCAAGGTCCAAGCCACGTGTGTAAACTTTTGTCTCAAATGAGGAATTATGAGGGAACATAGATAGACGTATGGACAAAATATTTTTTGGTGGGTTACATAAAGTTGCCCCTCCATTCTGGCACAATCCAGTCGAGACTACAGCCCTAGTAATCCCACCAAACGAGTGCTGTCACACATAACAGGGACCACTGTTTCAGGTAGTATCCAGGGTAAAAAATACCTGGGAGCGATGAGCGATTCACTCTTCAAACCTCCGAAATCGGTCCCGTGAGGCTCAAAATAGCTCCCGTAAAATTTTTTTGCCGAGAGCTATTTTTTCCACAGACTTTTGAAAAAGAGCTCCCGTAAAAAAAGAAATTTTTTTCCCTGGTAGTATCGCTATATTATTTTTACATTGATCATAACAGTAACAGTTACGCTATATGAACTTTAGATACAAGTAACAATTATTTCGTACAAATGTTTATGTAATTGATTATGTCATCTAACCAAGGTTATAAAAGGCACAATGCTAAAATTATCACAATTTACTGCACTACTCGATAAAAAAGTACACATACACATGATTTCAAACGAGAGATACAGACACACACATACACGCTATGAGAGATAGAGACATAGATGGAGTGAGGAGGGGGCAAGGAAGAGATAGGAAGAAAGGGGGAGAAAGGGAAGGGGGAGAGGGAGAAGGGGAGAGATAGATAGAGAGAGGGAGAAAAAAAAGAGAGACTCTACCCTACCATTTCATGGCAATTAAATTCTGCAGCAAGACTCCTGTAACAATACCAGTCATATACCAAGTAATACCATTGTTCAATATCACATTTGTTCTTCATATTCTACACAAACACCACGTTAAATCACGCACTACTGTACACAGTTTACTAGAACCAGAACCCTGTGGGTAGATTAAAGTGCATGTGTCAATAAATAAATATTATATATATATATACATATATTTGTATATATTTATTTATTTATATGCACACATACCATTTCATTCTAGTAGGAGTGATTAAAAAAGGTTTGCGTAACTGTACAAACATGCATGTGTGGTTGTGTGAGCTGGGTAATATCAACAGCACTCCATGATGCCACACGCAAGCTCTCAGTGACCACAAATTTCTGCAAGCTCGCACAATCCACCACTACATTTCGACACAGATGGCGATCCCCATGCCACCTCCAACACAGAGAGCAGCAACTCCTTTCCTAGCTCCGATACGCTGCATTCCATGAAGCAGAGTTACTAGGATCCTTGTTCCTGATGCACCCAGTGGATGTCCAAGCGCAATTGCCCCACCAGATATATTTATCTACAAAGAATATGAATAAATAGTGTAAATATTTCTTATTAACAGCATTATGCAATATTTAGTACAATCTTTCATCAACATATCTCTAAATAGCAGTAAACTATAGTACAGAAACTTCCGTTCAGAAGGTGTAGACAAAAGGTTCCTGATGTTGCATTATATAGGTTGGAGTGTTGTTGGAATGTATAACAGTTTGTTAATTTATGCAGCATTATTGTGAAAGGCATGTTTTGATAATAATTCAGTGTTGTGAGCGGCGCATTGGTTGGATTTTAATATATATATATATATATATGTAGTGGCCTTAGGGGTAGCGACTACGGTACGACCGGCGTTACTTAGTTAACGCGTGTCCTAGTTGTTTGGATCCAGTGTTCGCTCCTGCCGGTATATTAGGCAGGACGGTGATGTCACGTAGTGGATAACAGGTAGCACCAGCTGAACAGAAAACGGTGAGATTCGGTTAACTGTACGGTTATAGCTTTATTGATTCCTACTAGTTCACAAATAATTCCCCTGCATTCGTATATGCAGCGGATCCTATCACCACTAAATTAATATTGAAGAAGTAACGCGTCGCCGGTTTCGTCTTCCCCTCTCACGTTCGTCCTTTCCTCGCGTAGACCTAGGCAGTCTCCAAGGGTGTCTCCCTCGTTGTCGCTCCTGGCTCTACCTAACCGGAATCCCGTTCTTCTCCGTCCTCGTTTTATTCCCCTCTCCCGTTCGTCTCCGGTTTTCACCTACCTGAAAACCTGTGCCTCTAGCCTCTCTCTACAACGCTTCCGCTCCCTCTCTCTTCTTCTTCTTCTTTCTTTTTCTTCTTTCTCTTCCTGCTCTGCGATTCGGCGTGCCTTATATACCTAGCTGGCATGCCGATTTCGTTCGCTGGTGCAATCCGTACCTGGTAGTACCATGATTGCCTCACCTGATGACGCAACCCGTGTCTGGTACGATGGTTGCATCATCCTATGCAACTCGTTTCTAAGTAAATATTCCTCTCTTCGACAACTTAGACTATTCATTCTATTCAAATCTCCTCGTATATTATGCCAGACGTCCCAAGTCTCCCGGTCTCACCGGGAGACTCCCGGTATGACACGCAGCTCCCGGTGACCCGGAATGAGGTCAGAAGCTCCCGGTTTGTAACATTTTTCAGCCATATGAAAATTTACATCAGTAAATCAGTAAATTACTAAATTTGCCGTTGTTGTTGATGTACTTTGATTCCAGCAAACAATAAAAGGCGATAAAACGATGATTTTACATGTATACTTTATAAAAAATGGTGGTGTGCCGCGACAAACACATATCGCAGCCCGCCACAACGTTTTTCTTGTTTTTGCGCACTGCGAAAAAACGGCGATTGACCTGGCTCCCTTTCTTGGATTGCTGGGCCAATGCTGGCTCCCTTTCTTGGATTGCTGACTCCCTTTCTTGGACTTTCCCAACTTGGGACCTCTGATTATGCTGACTAATAATACATAACCGCGCAGATTATTATATTCTATTTATCTTGCGTTACCGCTTTCCGCGTATTCACCCCTTGTTTTCCCCGACCATAGCAGTAGCAGTGATAGCCTGATCCAAGATGGCTGCGCCCATGGACGTGCGTGTTGACATATTTATGTGCGATCTATATTTCATCCTCTTTAGTCAATATATATAGTTATTCCATCTATACTGTGAGTTCAATCTATCCATCCTGATCTAGTCTAATGCTCCTGTGAGTTACACACCCCCGAAATCTCCACAACTACCCCCAACTCCTATTAGTATCCGCCCTCGGATACGCCTTTGTCATCCCCCAACGTGTCTGCGAAATGAAACTTTGAAGTCTTTTCTGTTTTATATAAATATACCTTCTATATTCACTTTTATAACACCGGTATAACAAGGATGTAAACGGGTCCTGTATATACGATATATATCACTTTTTACCATATTCCTTTACTTAGAGGTAGTCGGTTTACTTCCTGAGACTCTATACAACGGTAACAGCAGCAATATATATATATATATATGTATAAAAATATCACAATCGATTAATACTGCTTGGTGCTAATTCTACCTGTACATACAATGGTTATAAGTATAAAATAAATGGAGGTATCTAATGTGGTTCCTTCCTCTCCTCCCTTCTCTAGTCTCTCGCCTCACCTCTCAGTCTGCCTACCCCCTCCCTTGCCTCTTCCAATTCGAACCTCACTCGCTCCTGTTCCGCCTGCCCCTCCTTCTCCAGCCGTTCCCTATCCACCGCTTTCATGGCCTTCCTTAACTGTCGCCGCCTCTCCGTTATCCGCCTATCGCTCCTTTCCTTCTTCCTCGCCAGGGACTCCGGCGGCGGTCTCCCCGCCAGGCAGATTGCCGCCACCCTGCCGCTCGACGAGCTAGAGGTTTGGCCCTAGTCCTTGGCCGACTTCCGGCTCCAGGCGAGCGGGAGGTCCAGGAGGGTCACCTCTCGTTCCGGGTGCCTCTCTTCCCAGCACCGCCGAGGTGACCACCCCGCCCTGGCCAGGTGAAACCGGGCCTCCCGCTCCGCCTCTCGCTCCGCCTGCCGGATGCTGGTGATTTCCTTGGGCCACTGCCCCCATCGGGTATTCGCTCTCCTTGGACGAGCTCGCCGGCCGCCCTCGCTTTCCTCCCCTCCGGAGATCGTTTTTCCCTCTTGCGGCATTAACTCTAACTCATGGCCCCTACGTAAAGAAAACAAAATAAACCAAAACAAACAAACAAAAATCCACCGCGATGAGTCGATGATCTCTGGCGGCTGCCTAAACAAACCAAACAAAACAAAGCAAAACAAAACAAAACAAAACAATGGCCCCTCCTTTACAAATCCATCTTGTGTAGTGGTTTATGGGCTCTTGTCCCCCGCCTCAGACCAAGATCTGCTTCATAGGTCTGTTCTGCTGTCTCCTCCTCTTCTAGGACCAGTTCCTGAAATAATATCTCCCACAGAATTTCCTCCCCCTCATCATCGCCTTCCTCGACATGGTCTGTGGGCTCCCTCTGCTCTTCCCTCGGGGGTTCTCGCCAATCCTCCAGTGGTTGCTCCGTTTTATAGGGCTTTAAGTAGTCGATGTGCACCACTTTTCTTCTTGCCCGTGGCTCCCGCTGTATGACGTAGAGTAGGTCACTCACCTTCCGGATGATTAAGTATGGCCCCTGCCAGCCATGTCCTAACTTCCTCCGAACTGCCGGCGGGTACCAATACCATGCGAACTCTCCCTCTCGGAAGGTAATCGGCCTAACACTCTTATCGTACGCCCGCTTCTGTCATTTCGCCGCTTGTTTCAATGTTGTTCTCGCAAAGTCGTAGGCTTCCCCCATGACGTCCTGGATCCATTGCACGTACTCATGCGGACACTTCCCCCACCTGGCACCTTCACTGCAGCACCTGGTGCTGGTCCTACCATGACGTCCACTGGCATATGTATCTCCCTTCCAAACATCATTAAATTTTGTGAACACCCAGTAGATGCTTGTGCGGTTGCTCGGTAAGCCATCGAGACGAACGGTAGATGATCATCCCAGTCGTCTCTGTTTTGATTAACAAATAACAAAAGGATTTGTTAAAGCGTTCTATTATATCGTTCTACTAATCCGTCGAACCTAAGATGATACGGTGTTGTTCTTGTTTTATCTATTTGCAGGATCTCACAGACTCCCTGAAATAAGCGAGATTCGAAATCCGGTCCTTCATCGGTGTGGATTTTTACGGAACCCCGTACCGGCAGATGTATTCTGTCACCAAGACGTCTGCTACCGTATATGCCTCCTGATTCGGCAGCGCAAGGCATTCCGTCCATTTTGTAAAATAGTCGCATACCACCATGATCACCTTATTCCCTCTCTCTGTTTCTTCTAGCGGACCCATGATGTCGATGGCGATCCGTTCGAATGGAGCGCCTACTTCCGACTGTTTTAACCTTCCCCTTTTCAACCCTTTTCCAGGCTTTCTCTGCGCACACACAGTGCAGTACTGGCACCATCTCTTGATATCCTTCGTGTAGTGTGGCCAGTAGAACCGTTGCTGAATGCTGGATCTACTCCGCTTCTCCCCTTGATGTCCTGCTGTACGATGGTAATGTAGCTGCTGAAATATTTCTCTTTGTAATTCCTTAGGTAATACCAACTGAAGTATGGGATGAGTCAGCGTGACCGGCGTCTCCCATTGTCTATACAATTTACCTTCCTGCACCTCTAACTGATTCCACTGCCCCCAGTACGCTTTCGCCTCCGATCCCATTCCTGCAATTTCTGCAAACTCAGGTTTGTCCAACGCTGCTTCTTTTCGTTCCTTGAAGAAAACAATCACAGGGTCCTTATCATGTAATCTCCTAATATTTTCCGGGTTGCATACATCATGGTCTTCCCCCTGATCCTCGGGATTTTTTCTGCGATCCTCTCGCTCTCCCTCGGTCACTACTAACACCTGCCCACGCTGCTCCTTATCCTCACATGAAGAACCGTCTCTCCTCCCATGTAGAATTCTCTCGTTCCCTACTACAGCTGGGTGGTTCCTCGCTACTACTTTCCTCGTCTTCTTCCTCCTGAACGTGCGTTTCCTCTTCCTCTGAGTGCATCTCCATCGCTGGTTGGGCATCCGCTTCCATCATTCCATGCCTGCTATCTGGGCAGTTCTCGTTCGGGCATTTTCGGACTGTCTTACGTGACAACGCGTCCGCATTCTGGTGATGCTGTCCTCTCCGGTGCTCAATTTCAAAGTCGTACGTATCTAATAATGCTATCCATCGCGCTACCATCCCCTCCGGGTTCTTGAAATTGACCAACCAAATCAACGATGCATGATCGGTTCTTATCTTAAATGGTCTTTCCCATAGATAATGGTGGTACTGTTTGACAAATACCACTACTGCTAACAATTCTTTCTTGGTCGTACAGTATCTCGCCTGCGAGCTGTTCAGCGTCCGATTGGCGTATGCTACGACCTTCTCCTCGCCATTCTGAACCTGCGACAACACAGCTCCTAAGCCTGTCTTGCTTGCATCCGTATCCAGTATGAACTTGTCCTCTGACGTCGGGTAAGCTAATATCGGCGCAGAGGTCAGCGATCGCTTAAGTTGGCCGAACGCTCTTTCCTCGTCCTCTCCCCATCTAAATTTAACTCCCTTTTTCGTCAGCTCCGAGAGAGGCGCTGCTATAGTAGAAAATCCAGGTATGAATCGCCTGTAATATGAAGCCAGTCCTAGAAAACTCCGAGTCTCCCCCACTGATCGTGGTGTGTGCCAAGTTGCTACGGCTTCTATCTTGGCCGGGTCACATTCTAATCCTCCTCCCGTCACTGTATGCCCTAAGTATTTAACTGTTGTCCGAAATACATGGCATTTCGCTGGCTTTAACTTTAGGTTTGCTGCTCTCAGCTGGTTGAAGACTGTTTCTAGATTCTCGAGCGTCTCCTCGAACGTCTTTCCAAGGATGATGATGTCATCCAGGTAAACTAAGCACTTCCGGCCTAGCAAGCCTTGCAAGACCACTCCCATTAGTCGCTGAAAGGTCGCCGGTGCGTCGGACAATCCGAACGGCATCACCCGGAAACGCCACAAAGCTTCCTTTGTGGAGAATCCTGTGACATCCTACGACTCCTCGTCCATTTCTACCTGCCAGTAGCCTGCTGCTAAATCTAATGTTGCAAACCAGTATGCTCCTCCCAGTGCGTCAAGCAAATCGTCCATTCTAGGTAATGGGAACGCATCTTTTCGATATATGCGGTTAACCCTTCTGTAGTCAATACAAAACCAGACACCTTCATCCTTCTTGGCTACTAACACGACCGGTGAAGCCCAAGCTCCGCTTCCTGGTTCGATGACTCCCTTTGCTACCATGTCTGCTATTTCCTTATCCATGTCTGCCTGCCGGTGGAACGGAACTCGGCGCGGCGGCTGCTTTATCGGTCCCGCATCACCTACATTTATCTTATGCTTAACAATATTCGTCCTTCCGAGACCATCTCCCGGTCCCGCGAATATATCTCGATAGCTATGCAGTGTCCCAGCCACTTTACTTCGCTGCTCCGGTCTCAGTTTTGCATCTACCCTATCCAGTAGATTCTGTAGGTGGTCAGCTAACTTAAGCGGTGCCATGCCGTTCAGAACGCTCACCAACTGCTGTCCTTGCTGTGTCTCACTCTCCTCCACTGGTTTGAGTTCCCCTACTTGCTGATCCTCCAACAACAGGGTAGGCTTCTCTCCGGCGTGAGAGATAACCAAGGGTACCTTCATCACATCCCTTGGGAACACCGTCTGCTCCATCCGAATCCCCTGTGCCTCCAGCTGCTGAAATTCTGGGATAGGCACTAGCCTCACCTAGTTTCCTTTGGATACCTTATCGTCAGCATAAGTCCATCCAGGGATTCTGTATCTTTTCCCTGGCTTCAGCATCGTCGTCTCATCGACGTATACTGGTCTACCATTCTCTCCACCTGTCCAAAATCCTTGAATCTCTCTCCCATCGAGTGATAGCATCCCTGTAGTAATGTTCAGGATAGCATTGTTCGGGACGAGAAAGTCGAGTCCCAAAATCCCATCTAAATCCTCTAATTGGGCAATAACCATTGTTTTCCTATTGTAGGTATGCTCGGCAATTTCTAGACGGACAACAGTCTCTCCAGGACTATTCATTGCATCGCCGTTCGCCATCTTCAGATCTCTCTTTCTCGTTATCAGCTGTAGCCCTGTACTTGCTTTGATGTCGTTGAACCTATTTTTATTAATCAGCGTTGTACTCGATCCGCTGTCTACTAAAAATTTCATGTCCCAGTCCTCTACTTTCACAGGTATCACCCATGTGGGATGACACTGCAGTGGTGCTACTGAGATAGTACGAGGCAGTCTCCAAGGGGTCTCCCTCGTAGTCGCTCCTGGCTCTACCTAACCGGAATCCCGTTCTTCTCCGTCCTCGTTTTATTCCCTTCTCCCGTTCGTCTCCGGTTTTCACCTACCTGAAAACCTGTGCTTCTATCCTCTCGCTCTGCAACGCTTCCGCTCCCTCTCTCTTCTTCTTCCTTTTTCTTCTTTCTCTACCTGTACCTGAAAAATAACGCTCCTGCTCTGCGATTCGGCGTGCCTTATATACCTAGCTGGCACGCAGATTTCGTTCGCTGGTGCAATCCGTACCTGGTAGTACCATGATTGCCTCACCTGATGACGCAACCCGTGTCTGGTACGATGGTTGCATCATCCTATGCAACTCGTTTCTAAGTAAATATTCCTCTCCTCGACAACTTAGACTATTCATTCTATTCAAATCTCCTCATATATTATGCTGACTAATAATACATAACCGCGCAGATTATTATATTCTATTTATCTTGCGTTACCGCTTTCCGCGTATTCACCCCTTGTTTTCTCCGACCATAGCAGTAGCAGTGATAGCCTGATCCAAGATGGCTGCGCCAACGGACGTGCGTGTTGACATATTTATGTGCGATCTATATTTCATCCTCTCTTTAGTCAATATATTATAGTTATTCCATCTATACTGCGAGTTCAATCTATCCATCCTGATCTAGTCTACTGCTCCTGTGAGTTACACACCCCCGAAATCTCCACATATATATATATATATATATATAAAGGAATATCACGTAGTATATAGACAAATAAACTCTGTGTATATAAAACATGTCTGTCCCAAATCCATAAACTTCCAGGTGCTGCAATAATTTTGAATTGTGTGCGAATGTTGAGCCATGCAGCTTGAAAAAAAATATTTGTTATGGTACATCTGCTAATTCTCACACGAATACGGCAAACAACCTACCCAGTACCTCACAACACAGACCCTGTATTGGCAATTATGTTTGATTTTAGCACAGTCCGACCTCCTTTATCCAGCCACGTCGAGACCGGCACCCATCCGGATGTGGGATTTGGCTGGATATGAGAGTTATACAACACAGCATTTCTATGCAGTTCAGTAGGGTTCATGCATGTGATAATGTATTTACTCGTTGCTATGATTATTTGTAACAAACTGTCGTGTTTAATGGTTTATATGAAATGGAAATAAAATGAAATAAAACAGAAATTATACCGGAGGCATAGCAGACACGAGCGGACAACACACACACACACACCTGCGCGCACGCGCACACGCAAACACACGTACGGTTGGTACATCGCGCGAGTTTTGAGCAAGCTTTGAGCGAGATTTTTAAGTGGAAATGAATGAAAAACAGAGAACATAGTACACTGCGAGATCACGGCCGGTTAATAGAGATTTCCGGATAACGGATGGCCGGATAAAGGAGGTCAGACTGTAACTGTGCCTATCTATGAGCGTGCTGTCTACAACTCATGACACCTATGTGTGTAAATGTCTTTTACCTTGGTTGGGTCAACATGGATGTCTCTTATCACAGCCAAGGATTGTGCAGCAAATGCTTCATTTAGCTCCATCAGGTCCACATCTGATGGAGACCATCCTGCCTTTTTCAACTGGAGGGGAATGCAAGTATTCATTACCAATTAGTTCACAACAGTGTGTATGACTAGGTGCTGCACCCTGGTGGCAAACATAATCAATCGTTTGCAGCTATTGCTGAAAAAAATATTGCACTTTATAAACACAATGAAGAAAGCGTGAACAGTTCATATGCCAGAAGATATTTAACCGTAAACAACGAAGCAACTGTTTGTGACGTCATTCATTTATCATCTATAAGCATTCATTATTCAGCACTGCGAAAAACATAACACAGAACACATCAATGCATAGAAGGAACACTATGTGTGAAGTGTGTCGAGGAACATGCTAACGAAACAAGATCAAAACCGATTCACGTATAAAATCTGCTACAACGGCAATAATTTTTATAGGTTGACCTTTTTTAGAGAAAAATCGCCATGCTATTAGCTATTTCTGAAGTTCGTTATTCACACATTCTAAGCGTTTATAGTCTTGACTATAGTTGCATATAAAAGACAAATCGCAGATACAGATACAGAAATGCCCCTTGGATTATCTATTATCGTGTACGTTCTTCCATGAACCACAGAGAGGATACGTACAGCTAGTTCCACCGCCTTGATAGGACCAGTTCCCATGATAGCTGGATCCACGCCTACTTGGGCCCATGATACTATGCGTGACATGGGAGAAAGACCTCTCTTTTCTGCTTCAGTCCGTGTCATTAGTACCACTGCAGCAGCACCATCATTTATACCTGCACAATAGAAATATGCAATTTTACTACCTGTACAATACAGATGTCATATTTTTGTAATACTACGCTTGATTCGTCTATGATTGCAAATGAGATATAGTTACAGCATTAAGTTATCTAACCTATGAAAAGGCAAGAGCACTGTATATTTTATTATGGTATCAATGCTGATTTTAAATTTATTAACAGAATTTGATGCCACAACAAACCTTATAGAGGCCATGCATGTTGATAGTATAATTGATATTCATTGTTATAGTAATAACTCATTGGTAAGGGAGCACAGTGGATTCAAGTGCACATACTAATATAGATGTTTTACATAATAAACATGTTTTATTAGGTACTCCTACTGGCTTTGTTCTGATTTTTTGATATGGCCTATAAACAAAAATGGCTGCTTTAGCTGCCTAGACATTTTTTGACATTTTTAAACTTTTATTGCCAAACATTTTGCCTGACAACGATACTGTGAGAATAACGAACATGGGTGCCTGTCGAACTACTTGCCCGAGGAATTTCCTGCCGTAACTGTCCCAGTCTTATCGAAGGCAGGTCGCAGTTTAGCAAATGCCTCCAGTGTAGAACCTGGGCGTGGATGCTCATCTTTACTCACCATATTGACCCCTGCAAGCACACGATCAAAGGTCCTTACAGTTAAGTACACTGCACATGGTAAAGACGGACAGTATTACTGATACTAGGAGGAATTTCTTGATATTATTTATAGTTACAACCACAATACTGGAAAACACCACAGTATGAACATTATATAGGAGTTTAAAAAGCATAACAGCTAGGACATCTATCCAATTTTTGCCCCTTGCCCCTTTTCGTTGTACATAGATGCACGACTTCAAAAAACAATGAGCTGACTACGAGACAAAGGAATATTTAGCATGCCAAGATGCGGTTGAACTTCACTACACCATTATATAAACCAGCTTTTATTAGCTTAGACTCCACGATCTGCAAGCAAAGTGCTGCTGTCTCGATTCAAGGATTACAGTTACTATGCTCACCCTTTCTCATCTGCACAGAAACAGGTAGAATCTCCTTGTCAAAGTGACCAGCAGCAAGTGCACGCTCATACTTGAGTTGAGAATCCAGTGCAAACTTGTCCTGATCTTCTCTGCTCACCTTCCACTGCACTGCCACATTTTCAGCTAGAATAACACACACCGATACACCACTCGTACACAAAGAGAACTAGTGATTTTATTATTACATTTTGGAAACAAAAATTATATAGCATATGTTTCATGCTGTATGACAAAAGATAGCACAAAATACTAAAATACTACAGATTGAATGATAATAATGCTTTGATAGCAATTACTGTGTGTCTGTGTTATACAAATAATTGCTAGATTAATACAGCCAAGTTAAAGGGTTCGAAAGTCAGTACAAACATCTACAGTCACCCCTTTTAAACATTAACTGCCAACATTACTGGGAACATTACTGCCAACTATGATAGTGCTGTCTATACCATGCAGGATTACCTGTAATGCCCATATGACATTTCTCAAACGCATCAATCAGCCCATCTGCCATCAAAGAGTCCACCAACGTCTGATTTCCAAAGTTCACCCCGGCTCGCATGTTAACGCAGTGGGGTGCCTGCATTGTAACATTGTAAAACGTTGTTGCAAACAACTAAAGCGTAGGAATATGCAGGGCACAAAATTCAGATTTTTTTGCACCGGCCCAGAGGGCTGGTAACAGCATTTTTTTACCCGCCCGCACCATAATTTACCAGCCCTCACAAATTTTGTTTGTAAAATCAATGTCATATGTTTCTCGTCTGCATTCTTGATTTCAGATTTGTAAAATGGGGTGATATCCTTCAGGTAAAACAGTAATGTAGGCTATTTGCTAATTAATCATTAATGCTATAAATAATGAAAGTGTAAATGACACTGTAGCTCACCTTGGGTGCGATAGAAGAGGACGGGGGGATATATAAAGCAAGAGTATATATGGGAGAACTCCCATTATATAGCATATCTCCTGGCAAAATCTACCTAATTTGCATAATTTAAAAATAAAATAAAAACCCGTGTGATATGTTTTGGGGCCTGTCCTTATTCATTCACATACCAGAATTGAGCAAAATCCATTGAACCTGAACTGAATTATGGCCATTTCCATTTTTGCCAAAAAGTGGATGTCGCTCGAAAGTAGGTCGACTGGCGTGCTCCACAATAGGACGTTCAAACCTCTCCCATATGAGTAACAACTGTATGCAATTTGAAACATGTGGGCCAAACGATTCTTGAGTTATCGTTGACCGTAGGCAGACACTGAAATGCATAGGGGAATTGCCGAAATCTACCTAATTTGCATAATTAAGAAAAAATATCAAAACCTGTGTGATATGTTTTGGGGCCAGTCCTTATTCATTCACATACCAGAAATGAGCAAAATCCGTTGAACCTGAACTGACTTATGGCCATTTATATTTTTGCAAAAAAGTGGACGTGGCTCGAAAGTAGGTCGATTGGCGTGCTCCAAAATAGGACGTTCAAACCTCTCCCATAGGAGTAACAACTATATGCAATTTGAAACATGTGGGTCATCTTGACGATGTCAAGGTGAGCTAAAAATGTAGGTGCCCGCTAACACGGCCGAAACCACCGGCTCAGAGGTCCGGTGTTTTGCCAATGTTACTCGCACTCCAAATAATTTGCTGATATATGCCGGTGAGCCGGTGCTAATTTCGCGCCCTGATATGGTCATACATGCACTACAAGCTACAGTACAAATTCTTATGAATACATCATCTTAACATGAATGAGCTTAAACTGTGCTAATTTCGCGCCCTGATATGGTCATACATGCACTACAAGCTACAGTACAAATTCTTATGAATACATCATCTTAACATGAATGAGCTTAAACAACAAGATTAATTCAATGAACATGTAGATCGCATATACTTCGGACATGTGCCTTTCTCTTGCATCCAATAATTACAGCTCATTTTTGCATACATTCAATATAGATGAGTTCATTCCATAACACTATTATGAACAGACTCAAATGATGACAATCCATACTCAAAACCAGTGATTCAATGGTTGCATCCACATCTGAAAATTAGGAGGTTTCTCACAGATATTAAAAATATTCTGCCTCTGCTGAATGTTGAAGCAAGCAACACTAACCTTGCTCATGCTTTCTTGCCCACCTGCAACAACTATGGTAGCATCGCCACAGGTTATCGCCTGCGCACCCAAGATAACTGATTTTATACCTGCAAGGATAGAAGTGAAAGCACATACGTCAAAGAAACAACAAATACAACACATGATTGCTACGATACTGTCAGATATGAAGCCAATACAAACACTGGCTTGGACTAGGTAATGGCAGCCAGTAGCCTGAGAGTATTAGAAAGAAGTTGGGCCAATCCCAGGGGACCGTTAATTGTTATTATCTTGAAATTGACTAATTAAAGAAATTAACAACTGCTATTTGGGATAGTAACATACCTTCACAACCTATTTAACTGTATATATACAATAGGACTGAATAAAGTTTGTTTTTATTCATTTCTAACATCATGTATAATCAAAAAATAAATGTTGATATATATATATATATATAGATAGATATAGATATTTCATACCTGATGCACAAAGCATATTTACTAAGTATGCAGGAACTTCTGAGGGGATTCCTGCACCCATACTAGCTTGCCTGCCGGGATTCTGTCCTTGCGCTTCAATACGGAAATAAATCCAGTTTGGATTGAAAAATAAACAAAAAATTAAATTCATGAAATTCTCACAGATTTGTCTGTTCACGTACCAATCGATCAAAGATGGATAACAATTGATTGGATTAGGATTAGGTTAGGGTCAAGGTTAGAATTAGGGCGATGACGGGAATGAAATATGTATCAGAACCTTAAATCCAAACTTAAATCAGCTTATGTACCTGCTGTATTAACCTGTCCCAGGATGACCTCGGAAACTTCATATCCTTTTATGGATGCCCTCTGTAGTGCTTCTGTAACCACTAGACTTCCTAGCTCATGTGCTGCCAATGATGACAGTCCACCATTTAGCTTGCCTGAAACATGTCATTATAATGATATGAGTGACAGTGTTTCACCTGGTGAAAAAGGTCTGTGAGGTGATACATTATTTTTTGTGTGTTTGCGCGTTTCGAGGTCCTAGCAAAGCGAGGAACATATTTTGAACAATTGAAAAAAGATTTTTGTTGTTGATAAAATGGTGCAATTTGGTGCACCCTAAGCTATTTTTGTGCATTATAAGCTATGGATGGTGGATTGGTTCTATGGAAGAACAGTGATTTTCATCAACGAGGCAGTGTTTTGGACAAATTTCTGTGTGGCAGCTGAGAATTTTAGTGAGGTGGCTCACGTCAATGCAGGGGAAACACTGAATGATATAGTAATATTATAATAGCATAAATAATATCACAGACTGATGATGCACAAATTTACATCCCTCATAAGCTCAATAGTGAATGCTAGGAGTCGAGAAGCAGGGCCCATCCTGGTAAAATAATAGTCAAAAAGCCACTTGCTCCCCCAACCAAGATGGCAAGATCAGGCATCTGGTACAGCTAGCTCTTTGAGAATCCCAGACCCTCTACCTTTATGGTAAAGTTATGGTGATGATGATGTAAATGCATGTATGTGGATCCAGTTTAACAATACTAATTAATGCATCTTATTACCCTACTTTGTAATGGCTTAACCCTACTTTCGAGTTGATTATGATGATTTATAGTACGGGGTCACACAGTGTCAGTACCGTAACCGAGTCAGTAGGATTGAACTATTTGGGATAATCTGATGCTCATAGGGTCTATGTCACCCAGGGTACTGCCGGAACGTACCCTGGTAACTATTTGATATGGTTAGGGTTAGGGTTAGGGTTAGGGTTAGTGTTAGGGTTAGGCAGGGCCTGACATTAAGGACTGCCCGATTGCCCGGGGCAAGTGGAATGGACGTTCGGGCAAGTGCAACGTGGGTCTAACTTGCCCGATCGGGCAACTGTAGTACATACGCACGTGAAACAGTGTATTACGGCTAGCACAAATAGTGGAGTGTCTGTCTGTCTACGAGCGAGGATCGATTGTTTATAGTACAATGTGAACCACGAGTGCGAAGCGCGAAGTCTCTTGCGGCCGGGGTCCAGGGCCCGCGTAAGGGCCCTGGATGCTGCTCAGGGGGTTTGAGAAAGCGGCCCGCGAGGCACGCCGCTATGCACATTGACGCTGGCTGCTGGCAGGGGCTAAGGCAAAACAAAAACTGAACATATAAACATTGAAACATACGGATTGAAGGAATATATATGAAAAAATTATCATTTACCGATTCGTGTTGTGGATTGCATGATTGATCTAAAAGGATACTTTAAAAATAATTTTAGCAATGATAAGCTAGTGTACGTAATAGATGTAATAAGGATATGAAAGAAGATATGGAACATTTAATATAAGTGTGATAGTTATGAAATATATAAGGAGGGACAACAAATAGATAACTGGAAAAGGGATAGCCATGGAATAACCAGCGTTAGAATATGTAGGCCTACGGAAAATTCTGGCGATTCGTGAACTAACATTTAGAGAATTAGAGGCGACGTTTAGCCTTTGTTTTCTAGATAATCCCCGCACTCGTTGATTCGGGTGCCTTGTGAAATACAAGAGAGGGCGCCAAGATACAAGGAGTAGATAATGCAGCGCCGCGGCAGATAGATGGCGATATGATATGACTACTAGGCACTTAGGATTGACTAACTAGGCACTAAAAAAAAAAACCCTAACCCTAAACCTAACCCTAAAAAAAAAAAATTTAATTAAATCAGTAGTCATATCATATCGCATCTTTCTGCCAACACCGTAGATAATAGTCTTCTATTATCTACTCCTGGTCATATAGTTTGCGTTATTTGAGTAAAAAAATCGTATTTACATATAGTCATGTGCATATAACTATAAATTATCTACACGTGCATATATGCACATATGTACTCTTACTATTGGGAGAAAATAATATCAAATTATAGTAATAGAATTTTCGGTGATATTACCGGCCGTTGGTCGGCGCTAGTGTCGCGTTTAGGACGCCCGCATAAAAATCACGCTATTTATTCCAAGATCAGCTGATGTTATTTCCTTCCCATGTGAGAGATCTGTGATGCAAGGGTTGGTTGAAAGATTGCAAGGGAACAGGTGGTAACCGTGTTAGTGCGCACACCCAATACATTCCGTAGCAGTCCACACAACACGACGAAGATGAGCGAAGTTGTTATTGTGTCAGCCGTTCGAACACCTGTTGGTAATTAAAGTCAACTTTAGCTGAGGATGTCTTGTGTTTTTGATAAAATTCGGTTATTCGTGTTCTGATAATAATATTATTTATATGTTCAGATAATCATATACTATGACTATGACTATGAGTGTGAGCTACAATTACATACAATGATAATGCTATACAGTTTATTTCTCCAGAGCTATGACTATCACTATCGCTGAGAGGGTCTATGTCCCCCGGGGTACTGCCGGTGGTCAGGTCTGAGAATTGCGCCCCAGTCTGAAAATACCCTGCACCTCGTGCGCATGCCGTGACGCATGCGCAGTAGGCGCTGGATATGAGACTGCCGCGGCCACAGTCTGACGATAGTCTGGCAGTAGGTGGGTAAATTCAGACTGGGGTAATGTCTCAGAAACCGGTGTCACGGTGCTGAGCAGATTACCCCCAGTCTGATAATTACCGCCTGCAAATTAATATCCTGTGACCTGTGTTGCCCATAGGTGGGCTAAATTCAGACTCGGGGTAATCTCAGACGCGTGTCACGGTCTGAGATTACCCCCAGTCTGAATTACCCCGCGAAATTTATATCTGTGTGCCCATAAAGTGGGATAAATTCAGACTGGGGTAATCACAGACCGGTCTGGAATTGTTCGCGCACATTATATCTTAACCCGGCTGCCCATAGGAGGGTTAGGATGAGGAGGAGGAAGAGAGAAGGTGATGGAGGAGGAGGAGGAGGAGGAGGAGGAGAGAAGGTGGAGGAGGAGGAGGAGGAAGGAGGAGGCAGGAGAGAGAAGGTATGAGCATGGAGGAGGAGGAGGAGAGTGAGGAAGGGAGGAGAGAAGGTGATGGAGGAGGGAGGAGGAGGAGGAGAGAAGGTGATGGAGGAGGGAGGAGGAGGAGGAGGAGGAGAGGAGAAGGGAGGAGGAGGAGGAGGAGGAGAGAAGGTGATGGAGGAGGGAGGAGGAGGAGGAAGGGGAAGGTGATGGAGGAGGGAGGAGGAGGAATGAGGAGGAGGAGGAGAGAAGGTGATGGAGGAGGGAGGAGGAGGAGAGGAGACGTGATGAGGAGGGAAGGAGGAGGGGGAAGGTGATGGAGGAAGGAGGAGGGAGAGAAAGTGATGGAGGAAGGGAGGAGGATGGAGAGAAGGGATGGAGGAGGAAGGAGGAGGAGGAGGGGAATGTTGATGGAGGAGGGGGGAAGGTGATGGCTGGAGGAGGAGGAGAGAAGGTGATGGAGGAGGGAGGAGGAGGAGGAGAGAAGGTGATGGAGGAGGCGGAGGAGGAGGAGTAGGAGGAGAGAAGGTGATGGAGGAGGGAGGAGGAGGAGGAGAAAGTGATGGAGGAGGAGGAGGAGGAGAGGAGAAGGGTGATGGAGGGGGAAGGCAGGAGGAGTGGAGAAGAGTGAGGAGAAAGGGGGGAGAAGATGATGGAGTAGGGGGGGGACGACTAGAGGAGAAGGTGTTGAGAGTTCAGGGAGAGGACGGAGGGATGGAAAAGGGGAAGAAGGGATGCGAGTCAAAGGGGAGGAGGAGGGGGAAGAAGAGGGGAGAAGCTGGTAGAGAAGAAGGACGGGGGAGAAGGGGAGAGGGAAGCTGGTGAGGAAGGAGAACGGAAGGCAGGAGCTCGACGCAGCTTCTCCCCTCCTTATCTCCAACACGCTTTCTCGCGCTCTCCCCCGTCCTCCTTCTCACCAGCTTCTCCCCTCCATTCCTCCCCACCACCTTCTCGCCTTCTCCCCCTCCTCCTTCATCCACCAGCTTCTCCCGCTCCATCCTTCTCCACCACTATACTTCTTCCGTCCCTTCTCCTTCTCCCATTCCTCCTTGCTCCACCAAGCTTCCTCCTTCGCTCCTCTCCCCCTTCCTCGTTCTCACCAACTCTTCTCACCCCTCTCGCCTTACGCGCACCAGCTTCTCCCCCTGCCTTCTCCACCACCTTCTTCTTCTGCCCCCTTCCTCCTTTCTCCAACAAGCTCTCAGACCACCTCTTCCACCACTTCTCCTTTCGTCTCCCTCCTTCCTCCCCTTCCATTTTGCCCCTTCTCTCCTTCCGCCCCCTCCTCATCCACGCAGCATAGCCTTCTTTGGCCCGCTCCCTTCCTCCTTCCTCCTTCTCCACGTCCAGCTTCTCTCTCCCTCCTCCACCCCCTTCTCCCTTCTCAACCCGCTCCTCCACCAACTTCTTCCTTCCCCCTCCTTTTCCGACCACCAGCATTCTCTCGCTGCCTCCTTGCTTCACCACCTTCTCCCATTTCTCCCCTCCTCGCTTTTCCACGCAGCTTTTCTCCCCCCTCCTTCTCCAACCAGCGAGTTCTCTCTTCTCTCGACCGCCCCTCCCAGCTGACCGCATGCGCCTTTTCTCCCCCCGTTCTCGCTCCGATACCTTCGCTTCTCTCCCTCTTCTCCCCTTCCCACCGCACTCCACCAGCAGCATTCTGCGCCCTCCTCCTTCGCCACCTCAGCTTACTCGCCCCTCCTGCCACCACCTTCTCCCTTCTTC